CTACCGGCCAAACCGGCCGTGCATGGGCCGGCCTACCGGCAAAAAGAAGGCCGGCACGGCTACGGCCGGCATTCCCGGCCGGCCAGCCCAAAAAAAAAAAAAAAATTTATTTTTATATTAAAAAGGGTAAAACTGTCTTTTTGGGGGGCGGTAATAAGTAGAAAGGGGGCGGTATTTAACAACACCCTTTTTTTTTCGGTAGCAATTAATAGAGGAAGATGCGATACGGAACCATTTATCGGGATTTGTAACCGTTAGATCAACTATCTCTGATAGTTATGATGATGATGATCTAATAGTTATAAATCTCGACCGAATGGTTCCGTAACAGTAACATATCATTTTCGATATTAATTGAAAATTGCATGGGAAGAGTTACGTGGCAGGATCTTGGTGACCTAAATTTGGGTAGCTACCACCTCATATTTATTCTTAACTAAATCATGTTGGAATTTTTTGAACTGCATTTCATTTTGACACAATAAACATATATTACAATTTATTTATTTATTTGTACTATCTTTAACATAAAACAAACAATATACATTGACGTCATTTTCAAATTATTCGTTATTTATTTCACGTAAGTCTGTTTTAGATAAATTGGGCACGTCACTGTCACTTTTTTTTTTTGGGCCAACTACGGTATTCGGAGCTATGCTCCGACTAATCCGTTGGTCTACCTGGGTCACACACCTAGCAGTGGTAAGTGAGTCTCCCAACAAAGATTTTCTGCATCCACAAGGACTCGAACCCGAGACCTTGATTGAGCGACATCAAATTGCTTACCACTTGAGCCAACCTTGTTGGTTGCACGTCACTTTGTTAATGTGTAGATTGTCAAATGATCATAATGGAATGCAGTAGGTAGTCGGCGATTAATTAGGGCAGGCAGGTGGCAAATTAAATAGTCAAACTCTTCATGCATGATTTTTTTATTTACAAATCACTCCAAATTTTTTTTATCACCTTAATTAATTAATTTTTTTTTTTATATCGAGCTTCCAAGTTTGCGTCTGACTAGTCCTCGAGGGAACAACTCTAGCCCTTCAGAAACTGTCTCCAGTTAAATCGCGATAGCCACTCAATAGCTCCCATGTACCTAATACCCTTAACTACCGCGCACAAGGAGTCGATCCATTGCTCGCTGACCCTCCCAACTCTAAATTGGCCCCACTTATCCAACCGTAGGATCCCGCCAAAGTGATTGCTTCATGTTGGCCCCCCAACTTCATGCTGGTCCCACCTATCTAGCAGTTGGTTCCCACCGAGTATCAACCTCCGACACTGCCGCTTGTAGTTCTCAGTATCAATTGTTCTACAATTGCGCTCCGATGAGTTTGAAGCCTTGACCACATGTTATGGGTAAATTAAAATATTATTAAGTGTATGTTAATTGGAGTAGTGAGTAGGGTAGGACAACTTCACAATGAGCGAGAGGTGAGGTAGTTGGAAGGAGAAATAGAAACAAAAATAAATTATTAGCATAGTTTATTTCAAAGTATCAATATTATTAATTAATGACAACGGCAGCTGGTAATGTAGGTATATAATTTTTAATTCTAATTTTCTTTTATTTCGACACGTATACAAGATATATCATCATAAATACAAGACATTATTATTATTATTATTATTATTATTATTATTATTATTATTATTATTATTATTATTATTATTATTATTATTATTATTATTATAGCTGTAATTATTTATAAGATTGTTAAGGTGGTTTGATTATGTTATTAAATTATTAGCTACTTTTTTTTTAAAGAAAACTGTTTCTTGAAATACAAAATAGTAATTAAAAAAAAAAAGATAATTGATTTTAGAGTAAATAGCTTGAACAAAAATATTTGCTATGCTAATTTTTTAAAACTAGTGTTGTAACCCGTACGATGCACGGGACATAGTATAGAAAATATTTTATTACCAAAGTAAGATAATATGTCAATTATATTCAACACAACATATCGAGTCTGTAATAATTTAATATTTATATGATTATTTTTATTTTTATATTTCCAATTTATTTTTGCATGTATGGATTTTATTAGTTATTAGTTTATAAAATATTACAAAAGTGTAATATTTTTAAAATATAATGATTGTTTACAAATTACTTGCATGTACTTTCATGATTATCGATTATTAAAAGTTTAGTATTTTAATTATTTTTATTAGTTACTTTTAAAAGTGTCTATATTTATTTATTTAATTCATGTGATTACAACGTATATTATAATTTAATAAAAAAAGCATTTTAATATATGTATATTTCAATGACTCTGAAATGCTATAATTTCAATTATTACTTCACTATATAATTTTAGTTACTTGTTTTTCTTTACAAAATAGTATATAATAAACATTTTACATTTTAACAACTTGAATATTGTTTTTTATGTATATAAATATTTTAATGTGAAATTTATAATTCTTAATTAAACCCGGCCATCAAAAGATAATTTATTAATATATAATATAATTTTTAAATAGTATTATCAATACAAAAGATATATTCAAGAGAGTTATAATTTATTCACGGTTAAGTTGAATATATTTTTATCAAAAATTATCAATAATTCAAATTATTCATTAAGCTAATGTAATTCAAACATTTTTTAATTTTATTATAAATTTTAAGTGCTTTTGATTGATGAACATAATTCATATCTACAACCCTGAAATAATAATTAAATTAATTGAATTAATTTCTTATTCAAAATACGTGTAATCAATCAACCATTCTACTTAAGTCAATTTATATTTAATGTGTGCTAACCATTGTGTAAAGAAAAAAATAACTATTTTTTCAATTATAAAATTTTCTAATAAATAAAGCTTATTAATTATATGCGAAATATAAACAATTTTTTTTTTTTTTTTTTTTCACGCCCAAAACTATATAAATGATGGTAATATATATAGGTACATTATATAAGATATAGATATGGATTTTTATCAGCCTATATATCATTTTAGTGATTACCAAGTGCCACATATGTTATTTTAGTGTAATTTTTATTTATTCTATTTATTAAAAATTTATATTTGAAATTTTCTGACAAAAAAAATAACTTTTAAAATAGATATATGTGTGTGTGTGTGTGCGCGCGTTTATGTTACTGTCAATTTTTTTTTTTTAGAATACTCATCCTTCAAAACAAAACATGTACTAAAATATATATTTGGTTATATTATTAAAACAATTAATAAAGATTTTCACAAATCTTTGAGATCAAATTTTAATTCAACAAACATCAAAACAAAACTTGTACTAAAACATTTATACCATTGAGTATATTATTAAAACAATTAATATAAATTTTCATTAATCTTTGAGTTCAAATTTTAATAAACTAATGCCTAATAGAAATTGCCAAAATTGGCCGAAATATTTGGGCGGAAAAATTTGTGACAAATTAAGTAAAATTGATTGATCCATTATATAGATATAGTTATAGATTTGTAATTTCTATACAACATTTAATGTGAATTATTATTAATTTGTATTAATATTAATTATTATGTAATATAATATATAATTATACTTAATTAAACTAATTGTAATAATTTTTTACCGTACGTAGCTAAAAAATGGACAGGAAATGTTACTAAATGAAGTTGAATAATATATAAAGAAAAAAAGAATTATATTAATGATGAAAAATTTGTAACATCTTTTGGCGGAAAACCAAAAACATTCTTATTAATTGCTCTACCAGCAATTATATATATAGACTAGTTGTAACTTATACATTTGCACATAAAGCATTATGATAAAGAATAAAATAATACAAAATACAAACAATAGTAAATATCATAATATAATCATTAAAAAAATGTTTTAAGAAAGAAAAATCTTAAATATTATTTAATATTTATTCATATACAACGTCCGTGGTTTTGCTATCGTCAGAAATCTAAATCACCATAACTCATTATTTTCAACCTCATTTGACTCATAAAGACGACCCAAAATTTAAAACGGCACAGTTAGCCCATTAGACTTAAAAGTTTGAACAACAGACGTTAAGATTTTTTCTTTTAATCAAATGGCCTAACATGTATGAATGGCCCAAACTAAATATTGGCTCAATCCTTGTTTTATTATATGGTCATAGTGTGCGTAGAAAAACTAATAGTTGGAATTTTTATTTTATTTTTAACTCAAATGGCCCAAAATATTGGCCAAGTGCTTTTTTTATTAAATGGTCAGAGTGCGTGTGGAACATTCAAGAAACTTGTTGGGGGAAGGGGGGACTTAAGGAGAAAACTCTAGCTCGAGACAATTACACCGCATAACCATTAGACTCCTTCCAAAATTTTCTCTTCCCTCAGATAGGAGAAGAAAACACGGTCATTTCTCTTTATTTCATCATACCGCTTTTGAAATAATAGAAGTCGGTGAAATAGGTCGATACATCTCGATGAATTTGTTAAATTCTCATTTTTTGTGTGTGTGTTTCCGCTTTCTAACATATATAAAGTAAAATAGGCCGATACATAACGACACAATTGATTTTAAGGTTTTTTTTTTTTGCTTTTAATTTTATTGTTATTTTTATGTAAATATGCAAAGAATAAGTTTTTTTAGTGTAATTTCTTTTTAAAAAAAATTGTTTTCAAATCATTTTTTAAATTATTTTGTTTGCAAAGAATCTGTTAGCAACATATTTAGTTTAGTTTGAAAGTAATACGTACAACTTTTAGTCTCAATTTAAAACTTTAACTTATTATTATTATTCTTTTTGCAGGTCTAATTCAAAGTTTAAGGAGTGGTCAATTATTTATTATTTGTAATTATTTGTATTGTTTTTGAAAGTTTGTATGTGTTGTATTTATTCACTTTTCTTGGCATGACTGAATATTTATTCATTTATAGAGCAAAATAAAATAGTATAAAAAATGACTAATTATTATTTTATTGTCTAAATATTTCATCTAATTAAGCTTATGCCTAATAAAAGTTTTATTGTTAATTGAAAAATATTTCATCTTTGGATGAGATTGTTATTGCTCATTTAATACACAACAATCATTTGTGCCACATTTATTGTCTGTAATATTTTTTGGCGGGAATATGAGAATATGTTTTATTTAATGTTTTATTAAATGCTATATGCCAACAATTATATATATATATATATAGATTATATAAATTACATATAGTATTTTTAACATATAAATGTACATAAAAGTACCAAAAATAAGTGTTTTGTATATAAATTTTGTACATCTAAGCAATAATAATATTGTATCTCATAATAAATATTTAACATATAAATACTTATGCAATTTTTTATTTTTTTTTAAATAGTGACCGGGTCAAACTGGGTTCACCTGGCTAGGTCTGTGCTCGGTTTGACCGGGTCAATGCCAGTTTGACAGAGTCCTGTTTTCACCAATTCCAAATCACCTACCCAGACCAGTTCCAGGTTCGGGTCGACCAGTCAGGCCGATACGGGATGAAAAACTATGGTTGCATATAGGAATAAAGAATTACCCTATTGAAATGACATGCTTCCTTACATTGTGTTTATTGGAGAACAATCACTTTGTTGCCAATAAGAGTATGATTACACATTTTCATCAGCATATACATTAACATCTACTGATAAAATAATCTGGTCATTTTACCACTTTGTCCTTTATTGAATCCTTGCGCTATCTTTGAAGAAACGATCGACGCACTTCAATTCAAGATCCGCGCAGCAGGCCGAAACCAGACCAGTCTGCTCTACCTCAAATGTTGATATGATATTATGCCCTTTTATTCAACCCGATTGTCTTAATACAACCAAACAATAATGAGTTGATTACAATACAGAGGCAAGGTACATTAAATTATATAGAAACATGGCCGGAGCTTACTAGCCAAAGAATGAACAAGAAAGCCACAAGCCTAAACAGTGAACGATTTGAAAAATACCTTAGGGTTGTTGATTGCCTGTAGCAGAAACTTTTATCTTGAATCGAATTAGTACAATTCATCTACCAAGAGTGATGAATTTCGAGGTAGTGCTTGCTTAGCTAATGGCTGTTCTAACGCCATTATGAAGCTCCTTTTCCGGCACATTACTCATATTGTCAAGCAAGGATTCCAAGTGCTTGACCTCTTTTGGAACCGAACCAGTTAGTACCTAGCCATTATGCAGTAAGTAAAATGTAAGAGATACAGTGGTAAGCTTCAGTTACGTACAAATACACGAAGAGATTTATTACCTCGTATCCTGTCTCTGTTATGAGTACATCATCCTCTATCCTTATCCCAATGCCATGATACCTGCACTTTTAATTATGAAAAGTGGCGACTCATGTGGAAGAGAATTAATTGTTCACCACAACATCTCGCTTAAAAAGTTTATACTGCTTAGGTCCATTTGAGATTGAGAGGACTTAATTGGAGGGAGGATGGAATTTCTCGTGAAAACAATTAACCGGTCAATGCCAACCCCTCAACCCATCCCAAACTAGACAACCAGATGAGTTTGGCCAATAACTGAATAAATAGAAATGTAAAGTAAAAGAAGATCAATTTGATTAAGTTAGAAAAATTACCTCTCAGGAACGTCATAACTTGGAGAGATATAGACTCCAGGTTCAATTGTGATCACCTGCCCATTGCGTAAGTTAAATTTCACGTTGACCCAAAATTCAGTCTCGCGATGGGATTACAGAAGATGAAACTGCCTTCTCACGTTGATCAGAACATAGAAGTTTCCATTAGCTAAAATTAATGGAATTCGTAAAAACTTTAGCACAAAACAAAATTCTGAATGCTAGTTATTGAAACAAATCAGCTTCACTGCCACCCCAAAAGCTTAAGACCAAAAAAAAAAAAATAATAATGCTGATAAATAAAGACAAAAATATATATATATATATATACATATATATATATATATACTTTGGCCAACTGTTCTCCAAAAAACAGCTGCTTGAGATATGTCAAGCTTATAAATATTACAAGAAGAACTTCTCACACATTCAATTTGCTTAAGCGTCAAGGAACAATCAAGAACAGTTTTTTCTAACTTCAAAAGTTATGTCCTCCCAGAAACTTAAATCCCTCTGGACTTGGATAGCCAAAAGTTGTCGTTCTAGTAGAAATTTGACACCAATAAAGAAGAGACCACAGAGCAATCACTGATTCAAAATATATTATTTGTTATAATAAACTTTGCGGATATATCTGCTTTCTGGATTTGAATATTAGCATACATTGGCATGCACTTATAAAGCATACTAATACACTCATCTTCATAATTCACATCAGGCATTTATTCTGCTAAATTAACTTTCCCAGTTCTCATTTTCTTTTTTTATTAATAGAGCAAATTTATTTTTATTAATGGAGGGAACTTACGACACCAGGCTTCAATGGCCGGTCATAGCCAATTTTGCAACAATCATGGACATCCATTCCGAGATAGTGACCTGGATGACATCATATAAATACACTTACTGATATCAATTATTATGGAATTTCCTGGTAAATAAGAATCATGCAGATCAAGTATCTAACATCAGTAGTTACTGTAGATGAGTGGACAGAAGAGTGTAGATAAAAACCTATATTGGTGGGGTTCAGCATATGGTAGCTTTGAGGTTTGTCGCTTTTCAAAACTCCAAGCTCTTTGAATCCTTTCCGCAGCTTTTTGACCTAACCCAGGACCACAATGCAGAATCTATTAAGATCTCATAATTGAATAGGCATAGAATATTATAATCAGTATCAATGACCGTATGATATCAGATTAAACTCATCAACATTGAAGGAACAAGTATTACTAGTCCACTGATAAATTAGTATCTGTCAATGTAAAATTAGGAAATACTATAGTAGAACCAATTCAAGATTTACCGAGTAACTGTGTATTTCGCGAATGCTAATCCCAGGTTTGCATAGCCCCAAACATTCTTCATTTGTCTCCAATATAAGGGAATATAGTTCTTCCTGCAATAGTTTTAAACTGAATATTAGAAGTCTATTCAACATCCATTTCACAATCATGAAATTAATATAAACGTGATTGCAAGAAGTCATTTATAATACCTAATTAACTCACAGGAAGGTAATAAACAAATGGTCCCTCTTTTGTAAATTGTAAGAAACGAGAGAGTAAAAGCCAAATGGTTTCCAAGAACATGAAAGAATGAAAGAGAAGATGATTTAGGCATAATTTGAAGTGAAGAACTTGTGGAGATATGACTTTACTGATACTACTGCAACATCAAAAGTGAATGCACAAACAAGTGGAGGTCTGTATTTGCTGTTTTAAAACATCATATAGACAAGTTTTCAGGTTCAGGCCATGAGTCTTAGCTTTAACAGAACTAACAACATTTTCTCAACATTTTATGCCATTTCCATTAACGCAAAGATAAATAACATGTCTCTCTCTCTCTCTCTCTTTCAAACTTTATTTGTGTTTCACTCACTTGTTTTAAAAAGCGTTTTGTAGTGCATTACGTAGAGCGCTACTGCCAAAAATACTCAAAATTACGACGTACAGTTCGAAATTTCGCATTTTACCTGAAATATCTATGCTAAATGTTGATGTGGCTCTATTTTGCGGTTTTTTTATACTTGATGTGCTATTTTCACTCTAATATCAAAAGAACAAAATTATCAAAAACTTATTTTCTTTTTATTGTATTAGGGTCATGTTTGTTGAAAATGACAAAAAAAAAAAAAAAATGATACTGATTTCAAACTAAACTCTTTGATTGAGTTAATAACTTACATCTTTATATCTTCATGGCTTAAATTAAATTAGGTTATGACTATTAGTTAATAGTAATATAAACAAATTAGTATTAAGAACGAAAACTCTTCTTCTCGTCCAGCCGGATGTTGTTTGAATTCAATATTCGATATTAAAACATTATATATGACTTATATGCTTTTTTTTTTTTGATCGGTATATTTGACTTATATGCTTATTTTTGTTGTATATAAATATATAATAGGCTTTCATGCTCGAATAGCTTAAGCAACAGGTAATGTTATTTACGCTATATGTGTTTCAAAACAGTGGCTTCACCTAAGTAATCTGTTATCTTGCTATGTATCGCTGCCAACAAGCACAATAAAAGGCTAAAAGGTTTTCCATATTCGATACTACATAAATGGGTGACCTAATGAAGCAATGTCCCAGAGCATCTTCCTTCTTCAAATGCATTTTGATCTAATGAAGCCAACATCAGTAACAGATAGTAGCCTCTCATAATTCTACTCCAGCAATAAGTTCAGTGAAAGAGATTTCTATCAGTAAAAGAAGACACAAGCATTTTCGTTCTTCCCTGTGTCCAATGACAGAACTCAAGATAACAGTTCAGTGCTTCACCGAATTTCCTATTCTCTCCAAATTTTCCAAAAATTTCCGACCACAGTGCCAAAAACCAACTCTTATGAATCACCTGCTCCATATACTGTTAGCCATTGTTTAACTTGTCATGTGATAAATAAATTATCATGATTCATGAACTAAAAAACTTATGTAGCAAGACTCTATTGGTTGGATCTACTGCAGCTCCATATCCTTTATCCACATATAGCTGTCACAGATTTGATTCTATGTATATACACATATTACTTGGGTATATTTTCTCCTGATTAGATACATTAGAATTTCGGATTATTCATTTGTTTGAGTATGAAGGGGGAGATTTTTCTATTTTTGGAACACATTGCAACTTAGTGCCGTCTCTTTTGACTACCATATAATCTTTTCACTCTGAAGATAATAATCTCTATATAATAGCGTTTCATAGTCCCGACTTGGCACTGGAAGGGAGATTAACACTTGATAAAATAAAACCTCTTTAAATTAAGTTTACGTGGTCCTGAAATTAATTTAGCAAAGTTCTATAACTGACTTTTTGTACTTACAATACACACAGAAATTATCCTATATTCTCTAATTTACAAATAAATCGAAGCATCAGATACAAGGAAATAAGTAGTTAACCATATCGACTGAGTATACCTGAACTGGGGAGAATCTACCACAAGGTGGCCATGTCCGAGTTAGATCACTAACATAACCATGGAGCTCACATCCTACATCCATGAGAACCAGATCTCCTTCCCGGATCTGTCACAAAATTAATCAGCTTATGAAGAGTTTAGGAAAACAAGGTAATCCAAAAAAAAAAAAAAAAAAAAAACAAAAAACATCAAAATAAGCAAACTCACTCTCTGATCATTACGGGCATAATGAATGACACTGCCATTATGACCTCCACCAACCACTGGATTGAAGCTGTATTTAAAAAAAAAAAAAAATGAAAATGAAGATAAAAAAATAAAAATGAAAAAGACAAAAGAGAGTATCGGAAAATGAAAGATTAAGCCTCTGTAGCTACTAGCACACACGTGTGAGGGTCTAGAGAAGCAATAGATGAAAGCTCTAAGGTCTACGAAATAGGGGATTCTAAACCAACATAGCTCAAGTTATTTGATTCAGCACACTATCACATGTAAAATACAGTAGGAATTGAGAGTAAATTCAGATGATAATGATGATATTCCTGCAGGCAATTTCCTCTACAGAACAAGCACTTACGCCATTCTTTGGGCACCTCTCATTTTGCATTCATAATCAAACTTTGCAGACATCAAACTCTCATCAGGAAACGATTTCGAATGCAACATTGTCTCCAGAAGAGCCTACCCAACATGAACATATAAAATTATGAATCTAAAAGTCCAAGTAACCACTCAAAAGAAGAATAAATAAATTGACAAAGGGTTTGGGAAGAAAAAATAATAACTTTCTCAAACCGCACTGAGCTCAAACAGGTCAGAAAAGAAAACTGGGAAAAGGACCTTATTTCATGGATCTTCAAAGTAAACTTACAAGGAGAACTTATGCAGGGTGCACAGAAATTAGGCGAATCAATTTTTAAGAACTCGGAGCTTAGCTACATTGAAACTCCGAAAGTTCTGACAATGACAAGAGACGTGCACTAGGTGAAAGACAATAAAAAAAATAAAAAAAATAAAAAAAAAAAAAAAAAAAAACAAAAAAAAAAAAACAGAACCACAGACTAACTCCATCTTGGATTATTAGCATCAAGCATGATTACTTAAAAAAATCACAATTTCAAAATCCAATATAATTGTTTTCAAGTTGCGCATGGAACATTGATATATCAATTAAGTCTGTATTAGGCATAATTTCTTCTTGAAAAGGAATAATGATCTCCTGAATAGTAGAATTTGTTCCTTTGTAAATCTATTGTAATTAACAGAAGGAGCCTGTAACTTAGCATCAGTACTCACTGGTAGCTAGATGCTCTATTGTTCAAATATACACATGGATGAGTACATATCAGATAAAAAACACCACTGTTGGATTTTTTCTGAACACTTCAAAAGGCATTCCAAGTTTTCCATGTTCTATGTTTTCTTCCCATAACAACACCTATTCTTCACACAGATACTCCCAGTCATACATGATTTAAACAGAATAACTCCATAGGTTATTCAAAGTGAAATTCCAATCTAGTGAAAGAGAACTTAAACGAGGGGGCTTACGCCAACAAAATGAAATATCTTCATATCAAAGTGAAGTAGTAGCAAGGTATAGTTCCAGTAGATGCATATTCCACAAGAGAATAAGCTATTTGACCACAAACTCCTAACTGCAACTCTCGATCACATACCTGAGAAGCTATAGATGTAGAATTCCTCATCAATTTAATCTCAGCTTCTGATTTTATCCATCGTGCTTCATGACTATATACTGAAAAATCTTCCACGATGCCATTGTGAGCTGCTTTCTGGAAAGCCTCCAGTTTCATATAAGTAGTGTTATCTGTGACTGTGTTCACGAACAATTGAGATGAGCTGTCAATCATCCTTGAAAGGATCTGCAACCACAGTACAGAAATTAACCCTGAATGTACAGTTAGAAATTGGCTATGGACAAATGAACAGTAACTAAGCTTCATATGGTATCAGTTCATGTTCAACTGGACAACTAGTAGCCTGGGATGCTCACCGGTTCATAAGTCCATGCCATTTCTCTGGTGTAAAGTCTCAACGCAATTCATATTCAATATGTTATTAACTTCTTTAATCAAAATCAAATCATACCGGGTTATTAGCTCGGATGTGTAATAATCTAAAGGATCAGATAATGTGCAGATAGTACTCTGATTACACATTTACAAACATAAGGTATGAAAAAAAAAAAAAAATCCATTTAGAGATTTATAATAAAAATAAGCTGGCGGCATCGTTCACATTGTATGATAAGACATTCTACTATCAAATCAGAAAACAAAGAAGTGTCTAGAGTTTCAACAGATGAAATACTAGCACGTATGTGAGATGGTATGGCAGCATTTTCAATGCAAACAGAACCATAAGGGAAATTCAGCTCAATTATGGTCTCAATCTGAGTTTCATTTATGTATACATGCTAAAACTTTGAAATCACTGATAGATTACATGTTAAATACTAATAGCTTCTAGATATTGATAGTTACTTTTGCTTTTGAAACAATTACATTTAAAAGTTGGGTTCACCTTATTCAATGCACTTATTGGGTATGCTTCATCAGCTTTGAATGTGCCCAGAGCTGCATCAACTCCAGCAATCTCACCTTGCCAAATAACATCCTGAGACAGATTCATGAAGCCTTATGTTACAATTAAGGGAATCTGGTCCTGACACGCTTGTACAGCAAAAACCATACCACCACATGACTGATATGTGATATGCAAAATCATTGTATCTTTACAGATTCGAAACAACCCGCAATTTTAACCAATCAAGGATTATTTCACTGTAAATGCACAACGGTTTTTATGCATGACTGTCAGCTATCAACACAACGTTAAATAAATCTATTTAATGCTGTATTTCCCACAGAAAGCACCCTAGAACCACTAAAAATATCTGTATCCACTTGTATCTAAAGCCTTCAAGTAATTATAATAAGAACACATTGGCAGTTCAAACTTCAACTATTGCATAAAAAAGAAGAACCTCCCAAATGTTCTCCAGCAATTTAACAATCACATAAAAACTAAGAGCTCACAAATGTTCCTCCAAATATAAGATGGAAGTAAGAAATAAAATTAGTGATAATAAAACATCAAATGAATTAAATGATTGCTGAATTTGTCTAAAGACTATTATACAGTGATCCAATCATTTTCCCTGGTTGATAGAAAAATATTACCCTGGTTCATAGAAAAATACTAAGATAACATCCCCCAAAAAAATCCTAAAATTATTCCTTTGCTTCATATAAAGATACCCACAAGGCAAAAAAACAAAAACAGAGTAATACAGATAATTTTGACAGACAATATTAGGCTTACATCAGGACTAGCTTCAGGCATGAACATGCACAAACCACAATTGTGACCCAAAACTGCAATACCACCCGGCTGTTGACACCCGGTGATATAGAGATAATCAGCATCTTGCCGAAAATTGTACGGCACGACATCGGTCATCATCTTCACCGGGGCCGATGCAATGATTGCCAAAGCATTCTCCGGTAAAAGTCTCAATAGATTCTTTCGTCTCCATATATACTCATCAACACTAATGCCAGGAGTAATTTCGCCTTCACTCAATAACTACAATAAACAAGAAAGGGAGAGGTCACAATAGGTAGTGCAAAACAAAATAACGATGACAAAAGAGACATCGGAGACTGGATAAGACACCTGAGGATGAGTGCTAGCAGTTGGCTGGCCCACATCGACTGCCGTTCTACTAGAAAATCGTTTCACCTTCACCAATCCAATTGTTTCCACAAATTCAAAGTCAACCAAGAAAAAAAAATATCACAGGACAGCGTGAAAACGTTCAACAACTATACTGATATTGCTACACGAGTCTCGGATTGATTCATGACGGATGTAATGGTTCAAAACAGGTTTTTTCTCAAAACCCAAAAGATGATAGATTCAAAACATAGAGAGTATCTACCCTGTAAGCTTCATCAAAGCTGATTACCATGAATTACTGAATTAATCACTGTCAACTGATAACTAGACATTAGAAAACAGTTCCTATTGATCTTATAATAAAAGAGTTCAAAAAATATAAAATGAAGCCTCGCCAAACTAATTTTCATCACTAACAGATGATTCACTTTCACCTGAAATGTCATCATCAACTTGAAAAAAAAAATAAAAAAAAAAAAAAATAAATCATTGTATTTCAGAACATATATATGGCTATGAACCATATCATCCAGAATAATAATAATAATAATAATAATAATAATAATAATAATAATAATAATAATAATAATTAACACAGATAGAAAAAGAAGGAATTTCATAGAACACAGCAAGGGAAGAAGAGGTGAAAAATGCTAACTTGATTGAAGAAAATGAAGGGGATTCTCCGGAAGGGATGTCTATGAAGAATGTGCATATTTACTGCCAATTGGGTTTCCGACTCTTCCCACAGTTGTTGCGACAAATGTTCCGTTTTTCAGTTTTAGGGTTTAAGGTTCGTTTTGGGGAATGATTATAAATTCTTGTTCCTTGTTTGTTTAACAGAGATATGATTTTGTTCTAATTCTTTTTTTTTTTTTCAGATTGACTGCTCGCAAAAGTCAAACAGCATGTCAGCATAAAACACAACACGAATGTAGTGGTGGCCAGTCAACGGACCAAGGCCCAGCCCCGGTTCAGGGGTCGGGACGGCCCTTAAAAAGGCAAAAAGTTTAACAACCGTCCGACCTTAACCGACGGGACCAAAATACAAAAAAATGGAACCGGGATCGAACGGCGACCCTACGAGTCTGGTTCAACTAACTGGCCCTTTGGGTTCCCGCCCGTGAACATGTCTACATGAATGCAATATCAGTAAATTGGTGTCAACCCTCGTTTCTCCTGTTGGGTTCGCATGGTATTAGAGTCGGTTTACCAAGCCCAACTGGATTGTGTGACGAGTATGTCATTGCACGGTTCTACGTAGGTCTAAGCCCAACTGGACTGGGTAAATCGACTTCTGATACCATGAACAAACGGGGGTTGACAGGTGCGTTTCACTTGCGTGGGACCGCACCTGCCAACCCCCGTTTCTTCATTGTATCAGAGTCGGTTTATCCAACTCAATTGGACTTGGACTTATGTGGGACCGTGCAATGACGTGCCCGTCACGCAACCCAGTTGGGTTTGGACATCATATGAAGGACTCACAAGTGAGATGACGTAGTTGTCCTACATCATTTATATATGGAAAATAGACCTAATTTATAAGTCTAGTGAGCTACTCCTCCTTCCACCAATTGATATTGAGATGGAACCTCACGTGGACTTTATCTGGGCTTTCCCTTCTTAGGGTGCACTTCACCTGCATGGGAACGCACCCGTTTTCTCCCCTTTCTTCCATATCAAAAGGGGGTAGAAAAAAGAAACCAATTTCCAGATATTTATATAAATTTTACAGCTAACATCTGCTGCAACAATTGGTAGTCTGTTAATAGGGGCACAATAAAATTTGATTACAGAAAATTTACAATTAAATAAAATAATAATAAAAAAAACATAATCTTATTTTCACAACTGAAAGAAACATTCCAAAAGCAATTTCAATCTTTCAAAAACACAGAAAAATTGGCCCATAACTTTTTTGAGCCTGCAAGAACTGATCTTTTGTCTGCAGTGCATGGCATTTTCAAGAATAAGAAACTACATATATCTCTATAACCACTACAAAAGTACAAACACAAAACCAAATTAAAGGCATAGCTTGTCTAAGTCTAACAAAAAGGCTGCATTCTGCATTTTTGTGGCCAAAAACTTAATATATATGGCATTTTTGCCTCAGTAGAAAGCCCAGTCATTGTTTGCATCATGAGGAGGAACACCCACAGGGCCGCCAGGGCCTTTGTTGTTCGCCACATCATCCGTGGGCTCCACCTTGGGTTCATCAAGAGAGAAGGACACGCGATAAACATCATCATCCTCGATAGAAAAACTTCGGTCATGTAGCTGCTTATTATTATAAGCGCCCATCTCCTTTTCGTACCGCTCTTTGTCTATTTTACTTGCTTCAAAGTACGGCTGCAGAGCTCGAAAATTTAAAATAACAATGCATATGACCGATTGCATCAACATTATTATCTCAATTTGATGTCTAATACATATTTCAAATTGAAGCAAATTATCTATTTTTTTTTTTAAAAGAGGGCCCAAAATGTACCTGTTTCTCTTCCTCAGAGAGGCACTTCCAGGCATTAGTCACCGTTTCACGAATGTTCATGCCATTTGCCTTCTCTCCGTAAATTTTCTTTAGTCGATCCGTCTCCAGCCTTAGATAGATACTATATCCACTCCTCGGTTTCAGTGGAGCATTCGGGTCAGTTTTTAAATTTTTAGTGTTTGACTTCTTACGCCTTGCCTTCATTTCTGCACATTTTCAATTTCAAATTAATCAACATCATTATCCCGAAAAGGAAAATAGAAGGAAAAATAGGAAAAACCTGAGGCGACATCACGAGGACAATTATCCAGCGGGCCATCTTGATCAAGATACCGGCGCTTTCCAGTCGAGAAGCTTGAGCTCGCCCCACAACCTGCCAAATATATATATATAACCAAAAAAAAAAAAAAAAAATCAGAAGAATTGATAATTAAGGAAATAGAGAGTTTTACGGCGTTTTTAACCTGAAGAGGTTTTGTCCAGCCATGCGCTTCCTTCTTCTGCCATATTTCTCGAGTCCATTAGTTCGTACTGTATGAGGAGCACTTGATATATGTTCTGAAGTTGAGATGCTGACGTAAGCGCGGAGCTGATAGAGTTTGAGGCTGATGCAACATCATCCCATTTTCCGAGCTTAGTGACCTGAAAAATCATTTTGAAAGTGGATGTCACATACTTTTGTCTGAAGTTATATTGCCTATTGAATCAAACTATATTGCATATTGCTGTTGTTTGTCTGAAAGTAGAATCCATAGTCCATCTTTCCAATTTTATTCATCAAATATATATGAACAGACAATTTGAATATTATCCGATGATACACTTTGAATGATAAGTAAGCGAGTTTAATTTCTGCCTTGGATTGAATATGGGACGAACATAACAACATAAAGAAATCAATCGATCGAACCAAGGCAAAAAAGAAAGAAAGAACTAAAAATGATAAGACTTTATGCCCAATAATGTATCTACAAAACAGAGTTGCACCTGATGAAATCCTCCTCTCTCGATCACCTCCTTGTACAGACGATACAAATCTAACTTCGTATCACGAAAATTGAAGCTGCACACACAATAAGTTAATCGACCACAAGTTGCACCAATTAACAACACAAAAATGCCACAAGGCCGATGTAGCGATTTTTATTTTTTTTTCGAGTTTTTTCCGATTATACTAAGCAGATAGTTAATAAATTGTGCTCTGAGATATATAATCTACAGTTTTACCGAGGAAACACACACACACACACACACACAGAGAGAACCGCCAATTTTGAGCACCGATCTTCCTTTAATCGTCCCACATCGAAATTGATTTATGTACTTTCCATATGCATGCAAATATAGTCATATATGTGTGAACCTATACATACATTTTAATGAATCTGTAGAGTGTAGACTGTATGTCTGTGTCCAGAAGATACTAGTGAGTGTAAGAATGAGACGAAGCAAAATGTGAAGAAAAATTAATAACGAGGACTCACACTAGGCTGAGGCCCGATGATTCATTCAATTTTTCGACCTGTCCGTAGAAATGATCCTCGGATGTCTGATCGGAAACCACCGGTGATTCAGTTTTTTTGCCGGGAAAGTCACCGGAGCTGTCCACAAAATTCTCCATTTTTGCCCGGGTTTGTTGCAGTTGTTTGTATGGAATTCGAACAGTTTCCACTCGGTCGGTGTACTTATTCAAACTCATCATACCCATCGCACGAATTTATATATATTAAACCATTATCAAATTAAAATAAAAAACATATTTTTTTATGATATAAAAAATGCATAAATTGTTCCGATGAAATAATTTTTAATTTCATTGGGATTATAAACTTTCTTGTTTAACTACTAATATAACAAACATATTATCACATCCTGAACAACCAAGGAATAAACTTTTTAGTGCATGAGTTAGTTGCAATACAACTTAAAAATTTTCACCAAATTTAATTGTCTAATACTAGTTGGCACTCAGCTGTGCACGCACAGCCGATCCAATTTGATCCACAATGTCACCTGACAAATATTATTCAGTAATTGTTTAGTCAGGTCTAACTTTATCAGTCGGTAGTTAGTTGTTTGATTTTATTATTTATTAACTTAATTTTAAAAATGTAAAAAATGTTTCATTCATCAGAAAAAATATTGAATCTTAAATATACCCAAATTTAGTATTCAAATGACCCGAAAATATATCTTTAATAATACAAAAACATTCAAATAAATTATTCCACCCAACCATGTATACGAAGACCACCTTAGAATTTAGTCAAAAATTCCTAACTCTTAATTTTGAATGTAATAACTTCATTTAGTGTGTACAATCCGATGAGCGTGAACGTGCATGCACAACCCCCTAAGAATGCTCTGTCATCTACAAATTAAATTTGCAAGCAAGGCAATTATGTAGCAGTTTCTCATGACCTTGAATTATCCTCTCTAAAACGCTTATTGTTAATTTGTAGTAATAACGTCATAGTGTAGTCATTATAGTTGCCCTCGATGTGGTTCTGGTTCCTTGATTGCATGTATTAAGCTTGTTTATTATTGATGTCTTGAAAATAAATATGTTGGGTTATTGTTGTGGAATAAAATTAAAGTAAACATACATGGTTAACATGCTCGTTTTTTCTTAATCTCCAACAGACGTCCAATATTTAAAATTCCCACCAAATCAATGATAACGACAACCATTACTCTATATATATAATTACCATCATATTCACATAGCGATGCAATTAATTAAGACAAACCATTCGTAGATAGTAGCATGTCTCAATCTAAAGAGCCACTATCGAACATACTTTTTTTGTTTAGGAGGCGAGCTAAAGGTGATATTTTTCAGGTAAACATGTTCTTGATCATTCACTCCCAACCATCTTTTTCTCATTGGCCGGAATCGTTTTCTTTTTGTATTTTCCCGGCTTCTTGATCATTCACTCCCAACCATTTCTCATTGGCCGGAATCGTTTGCTTGTTGTATTTTCCCAACAACGGCCTCTTCAAAGGTGGATTATGTAAGAAAATAAAATGAGCTATTATATTAGAAACCAAGAAATGTCATGTCTGCATGCATACATAAGATTAAATAACCATGTTCACAAACAGATCAGAAAAAATAACCATGTTTACTATCAACATTGAAGCACCCATACCCATGTAATGTGATGGGGAATGGGCTCTAAAATCGGAAAGTTTCAGTAAATTGTCATCAAACAAAGAAC